AACTCTTAACATGCTTCTTCAACTTGATCAAATGATCGTTATTCAAAAATTGGTGGATTGGTCTAAAAAGGTCAAATTGGACTGAGCAGGGTTATTTCTGGACTGCAGACGAATTGAAAATTAATTTCGACGCCTTCCATTTCTTCCAACTTGTCTCTGGTCTTCTTGGACGTGTGCGGCTTGGCTTTGCCCTGCCGAAAGAAAACGGGTTTTGTCAAGCCAATGTTGAATATACCTCCGTTAATTTGTCGTAGACGAGATGTAACTGTTAGCAGTAGGCTGAGAATTGATGGCACGATTATTTGGAGGCAACTCAAAATGCAAAGCGCCTCCAAAGTTCCACAATACAGATCATGATTTTCTCCTCGAACCGAGTTCTTTTATGTTGCTAAGCGAAGAAACAACCCTTTTGCTGGGCAAGAAAATTTCATAAGAGTGCTAGTAGTTATTCGAAAGTTCAGATATATGGCTACTGCGCTACGTGCTCCTTTTTTAACAAGATTCTTTTTTAACGCTGCAACATTCAGAATCAAATTATATTTTACACTAGCCGCTTGCTTTTACTATCAATTCAATGGAAGCACGAGAAGCCTTGATCCTATAGAGATCTTGTAGTACCAGAATCATCCGTTTTTACGTGAATTTCCTTCCGGAGAGTGGAGAAAGAATTTCGAATCAAATGGCAAAACTTGATCGTCACACGTGTAGCACATCAGCACAATCGATCGATCGCCGTACTGAAACTGCGGCAACCCGCCTGCTTCCTCTCCCAGCCCGTCGATTAGCCAGAAAACAATTTCCCGCGCACAGAAGTTCAGTCTTATTTTCGCTGCGGCACTGCAGTGAAACGGCCTGTCCAGAAATTAAGCACAGCGTTGGAATCACCGTAATTTACGCTATCGAGTGGTTATTCATAGTTCCAGAAACAGTCTGTTCTGTGAGAAATATGTGGTTGTGGAAAAACAAATGCTTTCTTCATTATGACTTTCCGTTATCTCGATCCTTTTAGGGCCTTCAGCAAGCGCGTATTTTTTGTTTTTACACTAAGTGTAAATAATTATTCGATAATTTAGATCAAGTAAATTTGAGCAGTGTATTTTATTTTTCAACAAGCATGTTTTCTGCGCCGTACCAGTCGAAATAAAATTTTGTTCCAAATTCGAGGAATTTTCTCCAGATAGAATTTTTGCTATGATCAAATGCTGTCACATACAACAAATTTCACTAGTTTCAACGGCATACTTGTTTTATAAAAGGGTCTTCTAAGAGCATGGTAACACTTGATAGAAGATTGGGCTGCACACATTCGAAATATTGCTATTATCTGCGCCCTTTTAGAAGTAAGGCGTTTTCCTAATTTTTCCAGCTTGCTCTGCAGCTTATAGCTCAAATCCAGACAATTTTAACGTTATGCTTGTGTTCTGAGAAAAACCTTTTAGTGCGCTGTAACAGCCAAAATATGAATTCCATTGATGTATTTGGTTCTTGAAAGGGCTTCTTAGTGAGCTGTAGCAGCCAAAAGAAAATTAGGTACCGCACAGTGCAACAATAGCACCGGGTCACCACGCATTGCCGGTATGTGGATGGGAATTTGCGACATAGGTACCAGGTCAAAGAGCCATCTCAACATTCATCACCCTGAGTAAGTCATTGCACGTTAATTGCCTTTCAACTGTCTTCTACTTCTCATTAAGTTCATTTTTTAGTCATGAACATTCTTACTTCACCAGCCACCGAAACAAAGCGGTCATGCTCCTACAGAAACACGGCCTATTACAATTCAAACGTCTGTGCAAGAAAGGACATCGAATGAAGCTTAAGTTCTGTTTACAAATTATTTATTGATTTTACAAGCATAGGCGTAGCGATAAAGTGATTATTAGAATTGGAAATTAGTTCAAGAGCACTCATTTCACCTTCGTTACTGCTCACCGTTTCTTCAATGGATGGACTGAAGAGTCAACATCGATTAAATAGTGTAAGGAAAATCTGGAAATAATCCATAGCACAGTCTTAGGCTGAAATATTTTTTCAAACCACTCTCGGGTGCAATTAAAGTTTTCTGGCCTTCTAAAAGGGTTTTTCAAGTTTGATGCTTGCATGGGGTCCTGAAAGTGATGTTTGATCTAGTGAGCTTGTCAATCTTTGAAACGCAATAAGTTACTTTCACAAATCTTTTTTCCAAGAGAAACCCCGGACCTGTAAATAAAATTTCGCAGTATTAGAAACAGTCCTGATTTTCGTCAAAAAATCGACATATGGTTCGTGCCGCGAATTGATATTACATCTAGTACACACCCTAGCAGAGAGAAGTGTTCATCCAGGGCGAAACCTAATTTTCTTTCGACAGGCGTTGTGAATGTTCATTTCGAAAATCAAACATGCCGTCGAGATTATCAAGGCTTGCTATATCTAATGATAAACGCGTCGAAAAAAGGTTTATCAAACAACGGCCTCGTAGTCTAGTGGCCAGAGATTCAAGCTCTCGAATAATTATTGAAAGTGCAATGGAAAATCTTTATACAGCGGTAGGAGTCCTTTCTTCATTTGTTTGCGGATTATAAAAGGAACTCCAAATTGAATGTGCTTTAAAACTGATGGCGTATCCTGGCCTTTTCAAATCCAGCTCTTGTTTCGGTCGTGATTGAGCAGAAAAGCCAGCTACTCCAGCGCGCCTTCTTGTCAACAGAGTTAAATTGGTGTAACTTGTTAACAACGGTTTGCTGCGAAACACGAAGGTCTTAACAAACTCACATGTGCACGATGAAGGCTCAGCATCCAAAGCGGCTTACAAGTCACTTTCATTCAAAGCAAATGGCCGACCAGAACGAGGCATGTCTTCGAGATCAAAATCGTCTTCTTCGAGTCGTTTAGGCCATCTGCAACGGTCGAGTTTGCCGCCGTAACACCTTTACCCTCATTAATCTCATCTCAGCGCACGCAAATCATGCTGTTCAATGGGCATCTGGGATTGGAATCAATGAAGTAGATAAATATATACAAAGCTGTCAATAAAACTTCACGAATATGATGAAAAAAAGGAATTTTCAAAAATCTCCACAACTTTTTGCTCAACATTGCAATCAATACAATTCTACCAAGACTACTTGATGAGATAATTCTTGATGGTTTCGGATTTTGCTATATCGGTATATATGAGCTCTATATCATCAACATTACTTATATGAGCTGTCCTCCGCTAATCCGTGAGTTTCATCTCAGTAAGTAGAAGGATAGTCGTCACATGAACTCTGTTCTCGTTAGAATCCTGTCCCGTCTTTTGAGTTAGATGATATCTCCTGCCTATCGCTTGTTGATAAAGCGCATAAGCTCGAGTCAACTAATTTTAGCTCATACCAGGCGTCTCTGATACTACTAATAGTGTTCCTGAATAATATCGACACCGACATTCCAAATATGCACTGAAAGTGCTATACCCTTTACCACAAGGCCAACTTAGTTACTCGGTTTATAAGAAATGCTTCAAGAAAGTAATAATCGTAGAGTTGCTTATGTGGGGCTAGGAGCCCTTTGTTATACTGAGTGCACTGGGACAATGCTTTTGAAACCGTCGTTTGCAAGTACCTCGAATAGATGGATATGAGCGAGACACATCTGCTTTCATTACAAGCAAAATCTATTAACTGTTACTCACTCGTACAAAGGCCCAAGAAGAGAGCGATGGTTTTGCTACTTCGTTATTTGTTGATTTTCGTGGAAATATAGTCACAGTATTATATTATGTGCCGACATAGCTGAATTCACTCCTATGCGACTTCGTGATAAAAATATCGATCAGGTAGCTTGAATATTTCTAGTGCGAAAGCAATCCAGAACTAGACACAAAGCCTTGATAACCATTTATATCCTACAGCTACGATAAGGCAACAAAACGTTAAGGGAAGCTAGAATATATATATATAAATATATATATATATATATAATATATGCATTTATATGTATATCCTGGTAATTACTTTTGAGCCATACATATATGTGTGTATATAGCTATCGTTACTGAAATGTGAATTCATAAAAACTTCTTTACATTGTCATCAGGCTTCAACGATGTGATTACCAAATCGTTTAAAAGGCATAATTATTGGAAAAGTCTTACAGAGTTAACGACAATGAAGTATTTCTATTCCGGTCGAGCGTATGCACCTTCGACTCCGCTATATTCCTCATTCTGGGCTGTTCTATTTCCACTTACTGATCCTAACAATGGCTTCCCTCTTTGCTCTCTTACACTCTACATTCATAATGGTGAACTTTTCAAGAAACGTATATTCGACTTTCTTATTACTTGAGTAGGCTTTCAGCAAAGTACTGATAATTTCACGATAAATAAGTCGAGCAAATGACATAGGGATTGGGTCAATAGGAAGAACAGTGCTCTATCTATTCAAGCACGCTATGGTTCTCTACGGCTATTTCTTGTTCCTATAATCACCTAAAATTGAATTTTTCAATGGAAATGAAAAAGATATCTAAATTTTCAAAACTTTTAGTGAAACACTGACGGCGATGAACATCAGCAACGCAATTTGAGACGTCAACGTGTTTATAACGGACAAGGTACAGCTTGATTACTTGTTTCCGTATACTCAACATGTGGAGTGCTGTGCAAAAACGTTTGCGTCAGCCGGGATTCGAACCCAGATCTCACTCTTTCCGGGAGCGTGTGCTAAGCGACACTCGCTGTTGCACAGTACTCTTATCTACGCTATAACGCGTTGCCTGCCAACAGCCAACCGTCGACGGTCTGGCGGGGCAGCCGTTATTGGCATTGAACCCACTTGTGTTGACAGACATTGGCTCCCGGCTGACGCAAACGTTTTTGCACAGCACTCCACATAATTTAGATTGATTATCGATATCCAATGTCTGTCAACACAAGTGGGTTCAATGCCGATAACGGCTGCCCCGCCAGACCGTCGACGGTTGGCTGTTGGCGGACAATGCGCTATAGCGTAAATAAGAGTACTCTGCAACAACGAGCATCGGTAGTGCAACGGTTAGCATACGCTCCCGGAAAGAGTGAGGTCTGGGTTCGAATCCCGGAAACTAGGTGACAAGCACTCATTTGATCTACTCCTTTAGCGCTCTCTTGCTCGATCAACTGACGCTTTAGCTTGGTTACCTGTCAGATTCAAAGAGATTCGCCTTGAGACAAGACGTGTAATAAAGTACCTTTATTTTTGACTGTTATTGAGACCTTATTCAAAATAGAATAATCTGGTAACATATCTGAGCCTTCCATGCGGTCTGTTGTGGCACTTATATAGTGCAAGACACGTGGTTCGGCCTCAAAACCTCATCAGCTGCACGGTGCCTTTCGTATCAGTCAATCCCTTGTAGAGAAGACCCATTTCTAACTCTCCTTATATATAGGAATCGATGGTGAACATTTTACACTGCCGTAAAGTGATAAGACTACTCCTGATGCAGCTTTTTACAGACGCTTGCTAGTACAGACGCTTGCTAGTGACACAGTTATCATGGAAAATAATGGTACATTTGTCTCAAAAACAGTCAAAAAGAAAGGTTGCATAATGAGTTTTACAAGCTACAAACCAAGTGTTCTAAAAAAGCAGCGAGATATGTGGTTTTTCCACCATACGGCCATACAAGTTGTTCGCTGTCGATTCGTTTATAAGTGGGGCGAGGGAGGAGGAAGGAGAGGGAGCATCTCCTATAAGAAATTGGCTGAAAGAAAAGCCACCATGCAACCGATGAGACTGAAACTCACAAACTCACGAAGACTCAAATATATTACCAGATGATAAAAGATAAATAGATAAAGCTCTAGGCATTGATCAATCCCTCAGGGATGCGTCATGCATTCGACTTCGATTTATAACTACTTTTGAGGTGATTGAATGCATACCTGGACATGACCCTTTACAATGACTCGCGGTGGCCTCCTGCTAAACCGAGTCAGTACTGCTTATCCTCCCAGACGAGTCTGAGACCTGTCTGGTACCAATTTACCGACCCCGGAGGGATGGATAGCTTGGTGAGCTATGAGCGCGAGATCGGATCATTTACCTTGTGTGCGACGCAAGGCACCTCTAACCACTGCGCCACATGCGCTCTACCAGAAACCAGATGATATCGTAATAAAATAGTGACAAAAATTCTAATGATTCCAGTAGACTATTCAAGGTAATGAATTTCCCATTTAGTCGGAATATGTTGAATTATGATTGATGGTGATATTTTTGTCGCCCCGTGCAAGCGAATATTGACTCACGTCGTATTCTAAATGAAGATCTTTGAAGAACCTCTACAGACATTATTACAGGATCTGCTTTCTACTTAATGTGCAGTTGTGGAAGCTGATTCACGCTGGTCTGACTCTTTCCAATAATTCAAAAAATTGACAGACGTATTTGACTGCGTGGCATTTTAGAGTATCAAGAAGTTATGCGGCACTGGTGCTCTCGGCATATCTCATTCTCAGCACCATAGCTTTGCTCGGTTTCGCCTACTTGATCAGTGTTATCCTGGTCTCTTTCCTATCTTAATAGGACTAAAATGAGATGATTGCGTCATCGTATGGAGGGTCTGTTTTTCTCCTTTCTCTATGATTTATGACCAAAAGATTAAAACGCTAAATTTCCGATATTTTTCTTTAATTCTTGCTGCTATACAACATGGTGGCAATATCTCCTTTCTTGATTTCAGAGCAGCCGATTCATGTAAAATTTCCTCGTTTCTCAGTGACGGACATGCTGATGGTGCACTTGCTACAACTTCTTAGTAAAGGCTCCGAGATAGGAGAAATCAGAAAAGAGTGGATAAAAGTAAAATTATATTCAAGCAAGGATCGAAGTGGGCTAATCAAAAAGTTGAAAATCGAAATAGCCAGCGGAAAGTAAATGGTGAACGATAATTCCACTTTATCTCGAGTGCTTTGTTTAGACACGCTCAAATTTTAATATATCCTTTCATCATTATTTGAGCCAACATGTCATCGATAACTATATATAAGGAGTGTGACGCTCCCGAGAGAACTGACTATGAAAAGATCGACAGACGACGGGTTCTGCCCGGCTGATGAGTCTGTAAGGACGAAACACGTGTCTCGGGCTGTACAAGAGCCCTTACCAGACCACATGACATGTTGGCTCAAACAATGATGAAAGGATAATTCCACTATTTTAAAAAAAGACATTTACATTATTTCACATGGTAAAATCTGTATAACAGCTGCCGAAAGCGAAGATCAAACCTGTCAATCTGTATTGTCGATGTTCTTCTATATCGATATAACTAAAATTATATATAACATGATATCATCATCGTAAAACTAACATAATTACTTTGATTCAGTAATATGCGGTCGGTGCGTAACCATTTCGTGAAATGAAAGGCAGCAAATGCAATTATAAACTAATGTAGATGCTTTATCTTCAAAATCTTTCAAACGAAATAGAATTTTCGTGTTCTTTATTTCATGGCAATAGCATTATCCAATAATATAAATTGGAATGTAGGACATCATTTGCACTAGTTATAGCCCAGAATCGAAGAAATCGCTTTATCTTATTTTGTGAAAAATGCTTGCTAAAATAGATGGGTGCTTTATCCTTCCTAGTAATTGAAACCCAGTACGAATCATATTCGTTTCTCAATCGTTTTCCGTTAGACGATAGCAACTGAAGATACGATCCCTTTTGCTGAACATAATCATAGGAGTGTTAACAATCATTCAAACACTTTGCGGCTACTTTGCTGCGTGCTCTTTTATTGAAAATGCCTTTTTCCTGAATGCTGTAGCATTCATAAGAATTTATACTTCACTCCACTCGCGCGGTCATTTTTATGCACTTGTAATCCAATGAAAGCGCGGAAAATATGTGATCGCGTAGAGGAGCTCTTCCAATTCAGATTTATACGCTTTTTTTGGAGTAGCTTATGAAGCAGAAAAAAATCCTAAGTTCAATAACAAAAATCGTACTACAAATGTGAATCGCTCCAGCACGATCGATTGGTCGCCTATCGATTAACGGCTAGCAGATACACTACCCAATTGACAAGACCAAATGTGCAACCTATGTGAAACTCAATCTTAATTTCACGGCTACACTTGAGTGTAACGGTCTTTCCATAAATTGAGAGCAACGTTGGAATTGTCGAAATAAATGCTATGAAGTGGTCGTCTAAATTTCAAGGAACAGTTTTGTGTACGAGAATTACACATGTGGGAAACACATATCTTTTCTTCTTGCTACAGCGCTGAAACTGGCACATATATTCTAGACGGCGATAGATGAATAATCGACCTCATTCGCCGGGCACGAATTGTTCCTTATATGTAAAACGGCAATATAAGGGTTTTAGGGGAGCAAATAAATATTCAACTTCATTCGCTGACAAGAAATTCCATAGGGATGTTAGTAATCATTTGAAAGCTTAAATGTCTGGCTAAAGCTTTGTGCGACTGGTTTTTGGAGAAGCTTTTTTTGTAAGGCTGTAGCAATCAAAATAAAATTATGTTTCGCACCCTCCGCGTGTTTTGATTTTTTCGAGCGTATGATCAGTGGGAAGCATGAAAACTATATAAGCGTGTAGAGGAATTATTGAAGTATTTAAAGCAATAATTTTACTAATACTTCGAAATTACAGTATTTTCACTGCTTTTTTTCGCAGTTTTATTATGTTCTTATATAACTTAGAGAATTGAGTGGTGAACAAAAACACGGCCTCAGGCGGGAATCGAACCCACGCTTCATCCTATCCGGGGACGCGTGCTCTACCACTACACCACTGAGGCACATTTGCCCGACCACTCATTCTTCTACATCTCAGTGTTAGCTATCAGCCACCAACCTTTGACAGCCACCAACCTTTATCAAAAAGCTCTTCTTATAGTGCTGTAGGAAAAAAAGATTTGTGTTTCATCTTCGAGACTTACGCTTCAAAGGATACTAGCACTTCAAGAAACGAGCTTTATCCAGCGAAATTCAAGCGCGATATTAGAAAAAAAAAAACGCGTGGTTGCACGAAACCTAATTTCATTTTGAATTTTATAGCGTTGTAAAGGGGTGTTAAAAGGAACCAACTACGTATCTATTTACCCAGAGATTTAAGCTTTCGAATGATTACTAGCATATTTATGGAAGATTTTTGTCCAGTGAATGAGATCGAATACCCATTTATCGCCGTCTAACATATAAATATTAGGAAACACTTTCTAAAAAGCTAACATGTTCTTAAGTCCTTCGAGAGTTGAGCTGTCGAACGATCACTAGCAGTTCATGGAAAATCTTTTGTCCAGTGAGATATAAGAGTGATAATGATGAAATATTACAGCGCTTGTGGACCATAATTTTATTTTTTTTCCTTTGCTACCGCATTTTCAACACTTTTACTTTCTCACTTTTTACTCAAAAGTATTATAGAAGGACCTTTCAGAAAACCAGTACGTCTTACTAGAAGTTTTTTTTTCTGTCTAACAGTAAAACATAGTTTCTTCATTTTCTGCCATCTAACAGAAAGACCGTCTCTCACGTTGAGGAATGCTCCAGAAAAAAAAAATTGGCGACCACATAATTCAATGTGTAATCTCAGATTCGTTGCCGTCGAGAATGCAATGGTAGGCCTTAGCCACAAGTATATCCGCCCATCGTTTGGGAGAGTCTCTCAAAGGTCACTTCCGCTTTCTCAGAGTCACCCCTGATGTTTCTTTCGCCCATCTCCTATCATCATGCGATCGGTCCACCTCTGTTATACTATTTATATTGGTTTTCCTGGATTACTAAGATGCGCTAGATTTCGAAGATCTGTGTAACTGAGTATACTAAAGAGCTAAATTTCTATGCTACGTTCCTACAGCGGTGAGTCAAATTTTACTGCGAGAAGGGACGCATCCTCTGGCAGACGAGCTGAAGCGAAGGTACTCTTTGTTGACTACTGTGATCATGAATGTTGTTTAGATGTCGTCTGTTCAATAGAATCCCGTCGGATGCTTTTGTCTGGTTCTACCGCATCCCAGATTTATGGTATGCGTAAAAGGTTAATCTGTTAGGAATTTGTAGTATACACTCACCAAGCATATCAGTCTGCTTA